CTATATAGGTAGATACATTGTTATTAACTTAATTAGGGTACTCCTAAGCTGGCCTTTGCTAAAAAACGTCTTCCTCTCCCCCTCATCTTCCTCTCCCCCTCATCTTCCTCTCCCCCTCATCTTCCTCTCCCCCTCATCTTCCTCTCCCCCTCATCTTCCTCTCCCCCTCATCTTCCTCTCCCCCTCATCTTCCTCTCCCCCTCATCTTCCTCTCCCCCTCATCTTCCTCTCCCCCTCATCTTCCTCTCCCCCTCATCTTCCTCTCCCCCTCATCTTCCTCTCCCCCTCATCTTCCTCTCCCCCTCATCTTCCTCTCCCCCTCATCTTCCTCTCCCCCTCATCTTCCTCTCCCCCTCATCTTCCTCTCCCCCTCATCTTCCTCTCCCCCTCATCTTCCTCTCCCCCTCATCTTCCTCTCCCCCTCATCTTCCTCTCCCCCTCATCTTCCTCTCCCCCTCATCTTCCTCTCCCCCTCATCTTCCTCTCCCCCTCATCTTCCTCTCCCCCTCATCTTCCTCTCCCCCTCATCTTCCTCTCCCCCTCATCTTCCTCTCCCCCTCATCTTCCTCTCCCCCTCATCTTCCTCTCCCCCTCATCTTCCTCTCCCCCTCATCTTCCTCTCCCCCTCATCTTCCTCTCCCCCTCATCTTCCTCTCCCCCTCATCTTCCTCTCCCCCTCATGGTGCCATGTCACATATAGAAATTTTTTGATATTCGCAACCATAGTAAAACAAAGACTTATATTTTTGATATTTATTTTATATATTTAAATGCCATTTAACAAAGAAAAATCAACCAAAAAATGAGTTCGTGTGTCACCTCTGACACGCATGTCATAGGTTCGCCATCACTGGCTTAGGGTGTAGCGAAGGTACAGTCAATTAGCATCTTTGTCTTTTATTAGTGTAGATTAGGGTATTCTTAAGCTGGCCTTTGCTAAAAACATCCTCTCTACTTCCTCTCGCCCTCATCTTCCTCTCCCCCTCATCCTCCTCTCCAAAAAGCTCCTCCTCTCGCCCCCTTCCTCCTCCTCGCCAAAAAACATGGAGGGTTGAGGTTCTGCGAGCCATGTGTGAAGTAGTTCACAGTGAATTTACTTATTCCTGGGGCAGCCTTTCACAATCCAACTTAAGCCTCCCAAGAACAGAAGAGAACGGCTCTATGATCCCGAGCTAACTGCAGTATTATCCTGATGGAAGCCTATGTGGGAAGGGAGATGTGCCTAGTTGCCAACCTTCCTCTCCTTATACATGGGGAGAACCCAGAGGTAAAGTCTCCTGTTCTACATGACTTTATGTATATACTTTTTAATATAAATCACAGGATGGGGCAGAGGCAAGATCCAGGAGTGGTGAGGGGATTCAGCGCTCAAGAAATGGTTAGAAAGGCTCATTCTGCTAAAAGGAGAGCATCCTGTGAGGTCTTACCTGCTCGTTCAAGGCATGTGACGTTATGCCAATAAGTAACTGAAAAAAAGTTAAAGCCTTCTCTTTCTAATGTTCTTCCACTTCCGTTGTTAAAGAGAATGATTGTCAACCTGGAAAAGTTAATAAGCATGATTATGGGGGAATGAGGACCCAAGACAGATGATGGCAGTGCTCAAGGAGAGCCCTGCTGCTGTGCATGAGCTCAGCGCTGCTGGTTCCAACTAAATATATCCACGGACTTCCCAGTGTGACCTCGGAACCCCTACTGGTAAATATCCTGAGAAATCAGGACGCTGAGAAGTAGGGGGGAGGGAATTGGAGATGGGGACATGTTGTCCAACTTTGAAGACGAAGATTCCAGAAATGACAGACTGGTATGTCTGATGTTGACCTGTGGTCAGATTTTCAGCTGAGTCCAAGGCAGCACTTTGTCCTGGAAGGATCTGGGCCCCAGGGCCCCAGACCTGCATTTGAATCATGGCCACGTGGCCCTTGGCAAGTCACTTTACCTTCGTGAACCTTGCTTTCCCCTTTCTGCAAAGCAGATGTAATACACATGCCTTCCAGGGGTGAAGGTTAGCGATGATCTGTGTAAAGTGCCTAGAACAGTGTCCAGGATGCTCAATCAATAGTAACAATGACTGCGTTGTGGAGATGATTATTGCTGCCTGTTTTATTATTGGCACTCACAAGTCCTCTGCTCTGGGTACCTACTTTGCCTTTCTCTTCCAGGCATATCCTTGGCTGTAGTCCCTGTTTCCTAAGTCGCTCCCGGTGTCCAGGCAAAATGATGGATTCTCCTACACTTGGGAATCCCCGTGGCCCACCCCAGCCAGGGCTGCGTGTAGGTGAGTGGCATGGAGCAGTAAGTAGCACCACCCAGTGGCAATCTATTTACCAGCCACGTTAGCAGCTAGCCTAAAGATTGAACACCTTGGAGGGTCACCGACTTCCGTGGTTTGTCCAAAGCTTGTGTGGTCCATCCAGTGCTTGCGTGTGCCACAGCATCCTCCCTGGGACTTTCCCACGCCATGCGTTAGAGTAAAGGAATGAAAATCAAAATAGACAAGTTCTTCGTGTATGGCTCCTCAGAGACCACAAGGTGGCGCAAAAGCAAAGTTTTTTCAAAGCGTCCACCAAATCCGCAGAGACAGAAAGGAGATTGATCCATGGTTAGTGGTTGCCTAGGGCTCAGGGGTATGAAAGAAACTGGGAGTGACTGCTAAAGGGCCTGGGGTTTATTTTCAGGGTGATGAAAATGTTCTCAAAATTGATTGCGGTGACGGTTGCACAAATCTATGAGTATACTAAAAACCACTGTGTTGTATACACTTTTAAATGGGTGGACTGTATGGTATGCGAGTTATAATTCAGTAAAGCTAATACCAAAAAAAGGTGAAAAGAATATAAAAATTTTCAAGGAAAAAGTATCTCCAAAGCATATCATCAGATTTTATGTGTGCTATTTGACTTCTACCACCTGCCTGTGGACCGAGAACTCGGGTCATGAGAGGGTGTCTGTCATACCTCACTTGAGACCTACTTCTATAGGAAAAAGTAAACCCTAATGTCCTGAGCAGCTCACATGCAAATATTCTCAGCCCTGTGAAGGCATTATTCAAAATAGATCAAAGTACATGATCTACAATATATAGGATTGATGCATGGAGCCCCCCATTAGCCCAAATTCTTGGTATCCACAGAGCTGTCCCCAGGTGAGCCTGGGAACTTCCTTTCTAGGCGAGGAAATCAAGGGTCAGAGGTTCAGTAGCCCAATTGAAACCAGCACGTGGGTGGGTGGAGTTCTAATCTCAGCCTCAGCCTTTGATTCCACACTCAGAGCTCTGGCCATTTCAATAGGGGACCATACATCTCACTTTACACCTGTTGTCCCTGTGAAATTATTAGTGTCTTATTAGTCACACTCCTTTCCCTCTCAAGGTAATAAATGTCACAGCTGCCTAACCATGGGGCAGTCTTTTCCCTGGGGCTCTGCCTCCTCTGTAACTAAGATTGAGGCCTCAGAACTGGCGCTGTGGTCAGGCCAACAGCACCTCAGCACTTCCTAAAGCACCCGGCAAACCCCTCCCCTGCCCAGAACAGGAAAATCCATAAACACAGAGTAGATTAGTGGTTGCTGGGGACCTAGGGGAAGAGAGGAATGGGTTTCTCTTGGGGGATGATAAAAAATAATTGAAAATTAGTTGTAGCGGTTGCACAACTTTGTGAATATACTAAACACCACAGAATTTTAAAAAGGAAAAAAGGTGAGGATGGGACACAGCAATGGGCTTTCCTAAACATGCATCCCAGCTGGCCTTAGCACTTAGCATGGTTAGAATAGGACAGCAGCGAGCAGGATTAGGTGAATAGAGCAGGAGAGATTAAGCATAGTCCCTACCCCACTCCACTTTTCCTATAAATAAGGCTGATTACTTTGTGGCCAGCACTGCTGTTTACACTCGGGCATCAAGATAGCCCCAGAGAAACACCAGAGCAAGGCACACAAAGGCCTGAGACATTTAATTCCCACAACCCTTTGAAACAGGTATTATCCCCATTTAACAGTTAAGCAAACTGAGGCTCAGAGACAAGGAGACTGAGAGTAACTGGCCCGAGGCCAGCAGCTAGTGAGGGACACCTCTGGGATGTGAATATGGCTATCAGGGGCCCAAGTGTCTGCTCAAAGCCACTGTACTAATGTGTCCCCACTTACCCCAACTCACCAAAATCACTGAAAGACAAAGACTGCAGTTGGAATTGTCATGAAAGTACCAGTACTGCTAAAGGCCCAGGGCCAGGAGAGTACCCCTGTGGTTGTCTTTTGTACAAGTGCCCTGTGAGTTCTCAATAGAAAGTCAGCTAAGATAGAAAAGGAGGGATTTTAAAGTAGTTCAAGACATTCAGAAGTACATGGCCGCCTTCTCTTCCTTCCAAAGCAAGCTTTTTATTGTTCAACCAATCGACAGTGTTCAGTGAAGCCTAGCACTGTACTAAGTACACTGTACTAAGCATAAATACACAAGTGTAAGACACAGTCCCAGCCAATTTAAACATAGAATCTAAACATTTCTCAGGAATTACTCCATGGTTAAACAAGCAAAACTGGACTTAGTTGACAATATTGCAATGAATAGTCTTTAAAGCCAACATTTTAAAGAAAAACATTACACCTACACTTGTTATGGTATGCAAGTTCTCCACAGTAATATCAACTTCATTGCTATCAGTAAACAAGGTTTACTTTTCTTAAAATTCACCTTTATTAAAATTCACCCCTGTAATCTCAATAGATTTTTTTAAAGGAACTTTGAAAGGTAAAGTAGTGGAAACGTGTACAAATTTGGCCAACAGATGTCTGAGCAAAAGAGTTCGAGACTACTGAGAGAACCTAGCCCAGTGATGGCAAACCTTTTGAGCTCGGCGTGTCAGCATTTTGAAAAACCCTAACTTATCTCTGGTGCCGTGTCACATATAGAAATTTTTTGATATTTGCAACCATAGTAAAACAAAGACTTATATTTTTGATGTTTATTTCATATATTTAAATGCCATTTAACAAAGAAAAATCAACCAAAAAAATGAGTTCGCGTGTCACCTCTGACACACGTGTCATAGGTTCGCCATCACTGACCTAGCCCATCTCCAGGCCAGTTTCATTAACATTTTGACAACATAAAGCATGTTTCCATGTAAGACATTACCACCATCCAGAAGAGGGCGTCAGTACCATGGACAGTGGTGTAGGCTAGACATTACCAAGAGGGCGAAATTTTGCACCAACTCAGAGGCAATAGATACCAGGGGCTGGGGGAAATGTTGTCCCCCAAATTAACCTCTTGATTCTCTCACAAACTCTCATGACTCACAGGTGTTAGCCCAAACCGGAAGTTGGATTGAGATACTGTACATGGTGATGATTCATTCATAACCTCCTGCTTTGAGAGCGTAGAACATTCAGCACAGAGCAGAGAAGCGAGAGCAGCAGCCTCAGGAGCCTGAAACCTGAGAGGGTGATGCAAGGACACAAACATGACTGTCACCTTGCTTTCTTTTCCAGACCCTTCACTCGACTGTGGCCCCAGCAAAGAGCTTTAGCCTCATGCTGGGTTACTACCCAAAATGGTCTCCATTTTGGCCAAAAAAAAAAAAAAAAATGCAAATCAAGGAAGGAACTAGCACAAAGGGAGGACTGGATAATTCTCTAGTGTTCATGTAGTCTGGATACTCTAGTGAAAAAGATCACTGACTCCTTGAAATAAAGTATGTTACACCAGGAAGTCTGGGCTAGGCTGCAGCTGAAGGGAAAAGTTCCAATCTGAACTTCAAACCTGTGGTAAGCAAGAGCCTTTTGCTTGAAAGCACTGAATAGTGAGCATCTAGCTCTGGCAGTGATGGGAAAGAATGCCAGTTCCTCCCTTTTCGTAGACTCTAAAGTCTAACAGGGTCCTGAGTATGCAGAGACGCCAGGTCCAGGGCTTCACAACTGAACTTGGTCCTCATGCCAGCAACCCTTCTCCTTTCTACCATGAAGGTCACTCTGGCTCCTGTGCACCCGACAGCCCTCAGGATTCCTCCATCAACTGTAGAGATGATCATCAAGGCTACTGAAATAGGAGGTAGTGTACAAAATGTAACGCTGGTTTTTCTTAAAATGTAACACTGGATTTCTTATAGCAGATACAAGGCACAGTGTGAGAAAGCTGCCCCACGCCCAGCCACACATCCACACTTGCTCCTTGCACACACACAAGCAGCTGGTTTTGCCACGATGCACAGGAATGAATTGCTTCCAGTCACTTCTGGTTCTTAAGCTGGTTGGAGAGCCAGTCCAGGCCTTTGTAAAGCCCGTCTCCACTGGTGGCGCTGGTAGCCTGAATATGCCAGTTTCTCCGGCGGACGGACTGTAAGCCAAGCTTGTCTGTTATTTCTGCTGTGCTCATAGCATTGGGAACATCCTTGAAAGAGAATATTCAAAAGTCAGTTTATAATGTTGCGTTCATATAATGAAATACCATGCTCTTAAAAATATATATATCATGCTCTTCTCCCCAAACCTGCCCCAAACCACAGACTTATCTCAGCTGATGGCAACTCTAGCCTTCCAGCTGCTCAGGCCCAAAACCTTAAAATCATCCTTAATTTTTTTTCTCTCTCTCACTCTCACAACTCCACATTAGGAAATCCTACAGACTCTACCATCTAAATATATTCAGCATCTGACCATTTCTCACCTCACCTTCACAGCTACACCCTAACCCCACCACCATCATTTCTCACTTGGATTACTTACATAACTTCCTTATTGGTCTCCTTGCTTCTGCTCTTGCTCCCCTCAAGTCTATTCTTAACAGTCAATTAAAATCAGATCAAGTCATTCTTCTATCAGAATCCTGCAACAGCTCACTCTCTCTGGGGGTCAGAGTCCTTCTGATGGTCTGTAACGCCTTCATGACCTGAGCCCCCATGACTTCTCCAAATAGTCCTGCTTAGTCTTTTTAAATACAGCACTCAGCACATGTTACTATATTGTAACACTTACTTACTTAGTATGGTTTTAAAATAAATATCAAAAATATACATCTTTGTTTTACTATGGTTGCAAATATCAAAAAAATTCTATATGTGACATGGCACCAGAGTTAAATTAGGGTTTTTCAAAATGCTGACACGCCGAGCTCAAAAGGTTCGCCATCACTGTTATATAAGCATAGAAAGTTCTACCTCTGGAAAGAGGTAAGGAATGTAACAATGTTTTACCCTGAGGAGTGGGGCTACGTATTTCACTTCACTTGATATTCTGAACTGTTTGCATACTTATACCATGAACATATTCTGCTTTTATAATTAAAACAATAAATCTGTTCTTTTTCTTTTTTTGAAAGTCCACTATGTTCACTAGTGAAATTCTGGACTGACATCGAACCTAACAGTAGGGTCCCGGTTGAGTAAATGATGATCCATTCGCCCTTTAAAATCATGTTTACAAAGAGATGAATGACAAGAGAAAATGCTTTCGATAAATCTGAAGTGACAAAACAGTATGCAACACTGTCAAAACAGTACGATTTCAATTTTAAAATGAATATATTCATAGAGGAGAGAGTGGGAGGAAACATACCCAAAGGTAACTGTCGTTATCTCAGGCTGGTACATTGCACATGATTCCACCTTCTTTCCCATACTTAGTTCAGCTTCGAGTCCTGTTCTACACCGGGCCCTCCTCCCACTCTTTTACAGCTTATATTACATCTCCTCCTCAGTGAGAGCCCCATGAGATCTAATCATTCCCTCCCTTGTCCACCCCCAACTCTGCTCCAGTGTCCCTGGCTGCCTTGCTGTTCCTGGAACCCTGGGGCTCCCTTCCTGCTGGACTTCAGGTCTCTGCTCAGATGTCATCTTATCAGAGAGGCATCCTGGCCCCTCCCCATATCCATTCTGCCCCTTCTCTGCGTTACCTTCCTCCACAACACGTCCACCAGACACATTACATACTATGTACTCACCGACTCTCCTCCCACTAGGATGTAAACTCCATCAACACAGAGACTTTTGTCTGTCTTGTTCACTGATATTATTGCCAATCCCTAAAACAATGACTGGAACTCTGATGCTCAATGAATATTTGTTGAGTGGATGAATGAATGAATATAAGACATATGCTATAAAGGAGGTGGAGGGAGAGGTTATGGTAGGGACTGGAGAGAGAGAGAGGCAGACATCTAATTTAAATATCTATTAGTTTTAAGTGATCAACTAGCAGTAAATTCCAGTTCCAGTATTCAGAAAGCCAACAACATACCTGTTTATTTGCAAACACCAACAAGACTGCATCCATGAGCTCATACTCCATTAACAATCTGGTTAGTTCTTCTTGGGCCTCACTGATCCGTTCTCTGTCGTTACTATCGACCACAAAAATCACACCTGGAGAGAAATCACAAGCATGTTAGTCATCTGAACCTGGAAATGGCAGCTGTTTATATCTCCTTACAGCTTCTTCCTGCTCACATGTGTGTTTTCACGGAAAGCAAT